AGGGCAACACGTCTTCGACAAATGCCTTAAGACACCAGAAAGGTCTTAGTGGTTATTTCACTTGCTGTGTGTTTATTTGTTCACGTAATCGTTATTGTTAGTATATAGGGATCCCTCCACAGAGGAAAAACTTTTCTCTGGTCCTGGAAGCTGTGAGCTCAGCATCCAGAAAAACCCACTGGTCTTCAAATAGCTCTCTCATGTTTCTGACAAGTCAGCTCAAGAAGACTTTGAGAACTTGTGGTCTTAACCTTAAGACTATCATCTCTGCCCTGTTCGGGTTGTTCAGTGGTTAGAGCATTGGCTCACGGACCAAAGGGTCCAGGTTTGATTCGCAGCCAAGGGCACATATCTCGGTTGCAGGTTTGCTTTCTGGCCCCAGTCGGGGCTTGTGCAGAAGGTAACCAGCCAATGTCTCTCTCTCACATCGATGTTTCTCTCTGCTCCTCTCTCCTTTCACTCTCTCTCTCTCAAAAAAGAATATGTCCTTGGGTGAGAATTAGAAAAAGAAAGACTGTCAGTCATTTATGCCTTAGGAGGAAAGAATGAGTTCATGCCTAAGAAAAGGAGAAATTAGGAAGGAGAGGGAGGAATGACACCATGCCCAAGGGCAGCAAAAGCCCCTTGGCCTCTTTCCATTTTTCTGGGACTGTCCTGACACTGCCCTGTTCCGTGCTTCCTTCTAGGGTGTGAGTCATTAATTCAATGTAAAAAACTGGCCATCCATGATTTCCTGTTCTAAAGAACCTCACCTGCCCCGAGGCCCTCTACCCTGTGGGATTCCCCTTCTCTCAGGTCCCCCAATGGTCATGGGCTTGCTGGCAGAGTGTCCAGGAAAGAGTCTCCTCTCCGGGTCAGTATCACCGTGTCAGCCTCAGTCCCCAGAGCCAGGCAGCCTTGGGAACGGGCCACTCGGGGCTGGGGCAACTTCAGCATGCTGTGGTCCTCGCTTGTAGGTTCCCTCTGGGGAAAGTGAGTTCCTGGCATGGAGAAGGGCTCATCGTGGGCTTCCTTTCAGCCAGAAATGCTTTCTCAGCGAGATTTGATCTGTAGCACCCTGCCCTTGCCCTGTCCTTCTTGGTGTTGCTTCCCCCCAGGGACACTCTATTTTTTTTTAATGTATAAACTAGTAGCCTTGTGCACGAATCCATGCACCAGTAGCTCTCTGTGGGGCCTGGCTGATCCACGCCCGCTGCCCAGAGGCCCATCCGCAGCTGGGCGCAGAACACTTGCCTTGTTGCCAAGGCAACGACGCAAGTGTTGTTCTTCCCCCACACCCCCACCTCCCCACCCCTGCCGCTCTGTGCCCACTGCCCAGAGACCCTTTGCTGCTGTGGTGGAAAGCTTGCCTCGTCGCTACGGCGATGAAGCAAGCATTCCGCCAGGCCGCTCACGCTGCCCACTCTCAGCGGCTGCCCCCCCGGGACTGGGGGACTCTGGCAGGGCTGAGAGGACTGGGTGCTGCCATCTTGTGGCTATGGGCACTGCCATCTTTGTGATGGAGTGATGGTTAATTTGCATATTCACATTTTATTAGATAGGATATTTTTTATTGATTTCAGAGAGGAAGGGAGAGGAAGATGGAAACATCGATGATGAGAGAGAATCATTGATAGGCTGCCTCCTGCATGCCCCCTACTGGGGATCGAGCCTGCAACCTGGGCATGTGGCCTTGACTGGAATCAAACCTGGGACCCTTCAGTCCACAGGCCGACGCTCTGTCCACTGAGCCAAACCAGCTAGGGTGGAACTCTCTTATCAGAGCAGGAGCAAAGTCCAGGGAAGATAGCTTCTTCCGTCATCTCCACAGAACTGACATTTGGTGAGTGCTGCTTGGAAAGGTCCTATTGCCATGGCTACCATCAGCCAGGTGGGGGAGGAGCCAGATAACCCATCTCATCCACATGCATGGGCACCATCCTGATACTTGATGATCACGTGGCTAATCCATGAAGCATCCTGTTGTTTGGGGACTAACAGCTCTTAATTCTTTTTGACAGGTGAGAACAGCCAGCCACAATGGAACCCAAACCTCGGGAGAGTCCAGGTACCCAGGGGGCATACTCTTAGAAGGAAAAACACTTTTATTGAAAATGAGGAACAATTCCCATCAATCTAACCAGGATACAGAAGATGGTTTTAGTAGGGATAACACCTGGCACTCTGGGACAATGATTCTTGGTTTGGAGGATGTAGCAGAGGCCATTGGGTTCAGTTAATTATTTTGTAAGACCTCTTCTAGCTAGAAACTTGGCACTTTTTGATTTTCATGGACAATTTGTTCCATTTGTTTCACGTTCCATTGTTGCTTAGAGATGATACTAACAACAAACTATACCCAGAAATGACTAGGGAAGATTTCCTTAATTTGTCCAAGGCCCTACAATTACTAGAGGAGCTGAAACTTGTTATATTTTTCCTTCAGGTTTTTTCCTTTTCCTTTTCTTGGGGGGCCTTTGGGGAGCAGTTGCAGAAGGAGAGTGAGGACAGCTGTCCAAGAATCACTGAACTCTAGCGTAATGGTTCCATCAGCTGCCTTACCTAACCCAGATTCTCTTTTCACTGGATAAAAAAAAAAAGCTCTAATTCTTTAGTAAAGGCTGCCTTTCCCCAAACCAAGAACAAATTAGAATTATCATCTGGATATGAAAGCAAAACCAAACTTTTTTAAAAAATTATTTTTAAAAAAATATATTTTTATAGGTTTCAGAGAGGAAGGGAGAGGGAGAGAGAGATAGAAACATCAATGATGAGAAAGAATCATTGATTGGCTGCCTCCTGCATGCCCTACTGGGGATCAAACCTGAAACCCAGGTATGTGCCCTGACTAGGAATTAAACGGTGACCTCCTGGTTCATAAGTGGATGCTCAACCACAGAGCCATACCAGCTGGGCTGAACAATTATTTTTTTTATTTTAACATTTAGTTATGTTTTCTAAATAATGAATGTGGTTTATATTTCTTGTAGACAGTTTGGAAAATATAGAAAAAAATCAATACTGCATATAATTTCAACACTTTCAAAGGAACACTTAAGCCTGGCTGGCTTGGCTCAGTGGTTGAGCTTTGACCTGTGAACCAGGAGGTCATGGGTTTGATTCCTGGTCACATGCCCAGGTTGCGGGCTCGATCCCCAGTGTGGGGGCGTGCAGGAGGCTTCCAATCAATGATTCTCTCTGTTCATTAATGTTTCCATCTCTCTCTCTCTCTCTCTCTCTCTCTCCCCCCTTTCTCTCTGAAATCAATAAAAATATATTTTTAAAAAAAGAAACAATAGCCCTGACCGGTTTGGCTCAGTGGATAGAGCATTGGCCTGCAGACTGAAGGGTCCCAGGTTCGATTCCAGACAAGGGCATGTACCTGGGTTGCGGGCACATCCCCAGTAGGAGATGTGCAGGAGGCAGCTGATAGATGTTTCTCTCTCATCGATATTTCTAACTCTCTATCCCTCTCCCTTCCTCTCTGTAAAAAAATCAAAAAAAAAATATATATATTTTTTAAAAAGAAACAATATTTTGGAAACGCCTGTAAGCACTTTTGCCACCATATTTTTCACAGTTGGTGATTTTGCTTTCATTTGCTAAGCCAAGGGCAAGGCAGAATCATCTTGCTCCTGTGGCTGGTGCATCAGCAGGAAGGGAGACAAGCCTTTGCTCACATCTAGAGAGCCAGTTAAGTGCTTCAGAAACAGAGGACCCAGCGGGTGTGAGCTGAACGCAGGCACCTGAATGAAGGTCGCTGCCGTGGGTAAAAAACAGTCACACACTTGGTCTTTGGGCCCTTTGTTTTCCTGGCCTATTATAGATGGGTGTTTTGGGGTATTTTTGTTTTGTTTTGTTTTGTTTTTCCATAACTGAATAATTTGAAGACTTTTCCAGAAGTAAACAATGTTTTCCAACTAAAGCAGTTCTTTTTAGAAACTCACTGGGAACAAACTGAGTTCTGTTCACTTTCTTTTATTAGGCAAACAATTTGCATATTATTCTGAAAATGAAGTCTGCAAACAAGATTACTTTATTAAGTCACCACCTCCTCAGCTTTTCTCCTCAGCCGTAAGTACTCGCTAGGATTTTGACAGGCCTCCCACCAACCTCCCGAGCATTTTTTCAATCCTTCCTCTTCCTCTGAGATTTAACTGAGATGCAAAATGTTTTCATTTTTCAGCCCTCTTGGAAAAAGAGGTTTTTTGTTCTGACCAGGAGTGGGGAGAAGGGCTTTAGTCTTTCCTATTACAAAGACCATCATCCCCGAGGTTCCATTAAAATCGATGGGTATGTATCCAATTGAGCAAAAGTTTTTAACTTTTGTTGCATGCAAATTGAAATTGAAGTCATTGTTGAAAGAAGCAAGGCCCGCGCCAAAGGATTAGTAGTCAGGGCACATGCCTGGGTTGTGGGCTCGATACCCCTGCAAGAGGCAGTCCATCAGTGTTCAGTCTCACATCAATGTGTCTCTCTCTCCCCTCCTCTCTCTAAAAAAAGAATCAATTTTTAAAAAGGAGCATAATATTTGTTGCCAAAAAGAAGCTAACTGGGGAACATATGAGTAGAAGATAGCTAAATAATTATTCCATATTGTACATTCTAGTTGGTAAATTATTCATTAGTGTTTAGTTACAAAAGGCATTGATGCACTTAATTTATGGATGAGAGAGAGCAGATGAAATTACCATTTCATAAAGCCCAGATAGGTTTTTAAAAATACTGAGATTGAATCTTTTGTCTTTAAGGAACTATGTACCCCAAAATTAGAAACCATGATAATTGTGGGATCAAGGATCCAAGTAAAATAGGAATTTTTGGATTATGTTTTATGCTGAACAAAGTATTTGATGACCCAGATCTAAACTTATTTTCTAAAATGATTAGGTAATTTTCAAAACATTGAACAAGCAAACCTCAAGTTTTACTCCACTTGAAGCGTAACATGAAACATTAGCCAGTGTTCTTTCTAATTTTGTGTGTGTATGTGTTTGATGCTTTATGTCTACATCGAACAGAAATTCCAGTGTAGACGTTGGCATAAGTAGCCATGAAAAAATGCGATCTGTACAGAAGATGTTTAAGTGCCACCCCGATGAGGTGATGTCCATCAGGACCACCGACAGAGAGTACTTCCTCATCGGCAGCGACAGGTGAGTCGTCAGGTAACAGTGTTGCCCGGGTGCCAAACACCAAGCAAGGTGAGTCATCAGATAACAGTGTCGCCCAGGTGCCAAACACCAAGCAAGCAAACAAAACCATTTTAAAGCAGTGAACAATGGACATGCTTAGAACAGAACCCCTCCCACACCCTTCCACACCATCTTGGCAGTCTTCAGTATTGCACTATTGGTTAAAATCCCTTGAAAAGTCACGGTGTTCATTTCCTAGGGCTGCCATAACCAGGCACACACATGGGGATGGGGTGGGGGGGGAGTGGGGGAGGGGAGGAGATGCTCAGAACAACGGAAGAGTCTATTTTCACTATTCTGGAGGCTGAGTCGTAAATCACAGTGCCTCGGGCCATGCTCACTCTGAAGTCCCCAGGGAAGACCTGTTCCAGGCCTCCTGGTACTTCCATGGCTCATGGCATCCTCCCTGTGTGCACGTCTCGGTGTTCAGTTTCCCCTTTTTATTATGGCACCAGGCATACTGCCTTACTTCAGTATGACCTCATCTTAACTAATTACATCTGCAACAGCCCTACCCGATTTCCAAATAAATAAGGTCATATTCTGAGGTCCCGGGGATTGGAACTTCGATATATGAATTTGGGGGGCACACATAATTCAACCCATAACAGTCACCATCACCCCAGATGCGTCCCCTGTAAAAGAAGCCACTACACAGACATCTGTACGAGCTACATGTGTTAGGGTGGGGGGCTGTGCTCGTCCCTGAAGGAGTCCTCAGTTTTAAGAAGGTGCCGTGTGTGTTCTTCGTGGATGATTATCTGCTTGATAGGGAGGCCAAGGTTGGAGGAGGAAGCCATGCAGAGGGGGCAGCGAATGCTAAAGCCAAAGTGGGAAGAGCCTTGATCTGTTTCAGATCCACCCAGAGGCAAAAAGCTTTCTTCTACATTGTCATAAGCATCAACAGAAAAGAAAATGGGATTTATAGGAACTTTTCAAGCACATTCTTCACAAACACACACATTGTATCAAGGGAGGCACACCTGGCTGGCTACACAAAAAATGGTGCCGACAGGTACCGGGCTCGCTTAGAACACAAAAGGAATCAGTGTCAAAGCAACAGCTCCGAACCCTGTGATTACTACTGTCATTTTCCCCTTTCCCTCCCATTTCTCTGAGCTTTCCTCGCAGAGGCGGCACGAGGGTTAATTCTAGTGTGTGAGTGTGGAGGAGGTAAGGAGCCAGGGGGTCATTCAAGCTACTTAGAAAAAAATCCTTATTTCCCCAGTACCTGCTCCCACTGCCTGTTCCAACCTTCACAAAAGAATCCTCCTTCAGTTCAAAAGGAGCGAAGGCGCGATTGTTGCCACATGCCAGCTGCAAATTTATTCCTATCAACAGGGAGAAGATTAAAGACTGGGTCTCGTTCATGTCATCATTCTGCCGGGATATGAAAGCAGCACGCCCGAATGCAGAGGTGAGTCTCCATCACTCACAAAATGACAGGGCACCTGAGCACAGCCCCCCTTTCACCAGGAAACAATGGGAGCTTTTCTCCCCCTCCTCCTTGGCAACTGGCATTAATACAAGGAATAAATAAGTGAGAAAATGTACATCCTTGTTATTTTTATGATTAACAACCGGGGGGAAATTCTTTTGTGTTTTGCACTAAAATAGAGGCACTTCAGATTTCCATTACTGAGGTAGGAGGAGTGAAAATTAACTGTGACATTTTTTAATAGTAGCCGAAACAACAGTATTTTCCCTCATTGTTATTCCAGGTACATAACAGCTACCTTCGGAATGACTAAGTCTAGGGTGGTTTCTATACAATGCTTTTCCTTTCCCTTGCATTTTCAATATGATGTCTCTCTAATGTAAGGGCTAGTGACTTGAAGATTTTTGTTGACTTCCTAAGAATCTTTCGTAATTTGCACAAGTCCTTTTGGAGGGCAGACCTTTATTCATGAAATATTGGCCTCCAGGTATTGTTTTAACATGTTTTCTAGGTTGTTTTTTGCTTCCAACAAAAGCTGAAGCCAAGGCAGAAGGGAAAACATGGTGTTTCTACAAATTGACTCAAATTATTAGAACGAAGAGGTGGGGAGGGGGTGCAGAGAGCCATAGGGTTGAAAAGATAGGTTGAGGGAAGTTTGGGGAGTGTCTGGCGGCCGTGCTGAGAGTCCTTGAGGATTTGGAAACAGGAGGAAGACAAGATCACCCCATGTCTTAGTGAGAGAACGCTGGCCAGTGGAATAAATGTTAGTGGTGAAAGACCAGAGGCAGGGAGCCCAGGGACGAAGCTATTGCCTCATTCCAGACAAGAGGTCCATCGTGCCCTGATTCCAGTATCCTTTTTCATAAGCAGGAGACACTCTCATTGGCTGCAAAAAGGCCCTCTTCAGACCCCAGCCCTCTCCTCGGGTATTCCAGCACATCGGAGGCCGTCGGCTCCACCACATCAAGAAATACTCTTCCAGACATGGTAACCGGACTTGCCTCCCCTCTCTCAGGATGCCCTGCCTGGGAGTCCTCTGATGCTTCAAGGGTCTCTCCAATGGATTTGACCCCTTCCTAACCCACCATAAGAACGATTCTTATCCCCAGTATTTAACCTATATGTAGTCTGTTGGCTATACTATAGATGAGCCTTACTGCTTGCCCGCCTACCTCTAAATGGATTCATTCATTTTGGATGCTCCTCAATATACATCTGGGTATACTGGAAGAATACCACCCCCCACCTCCCACTTTCACCTCCCCTAGCTAAACCAAAGGCTGGTTAGTAACCTCTTCCTTCCTTTCACACATAGGGCACAGATTATCTCTGCAAAAAATTGCCAAAACACCACTTGATTTCCTGCCATATCATCTGTGCTCCTCAAGGCAAAATCAGAATTTTTATTTACTTCATTTGCCTAAATCAGCCTTGCTTGTGTGTGTGTGTGTGTGTGTGTGTGTGTGTGTGTGTGTGATTTCATCTTAATTTCTAAGAAATTTAGTTGAAGAAAAAATACATCTGTCCCCTGGAAGTGATTTGTAATTGTCCTCTCAGCTCTCTCGCATTTGTGATCTTCCCAGCTTTAGATATTATTAAAAAAATGGGTTAAGTGTTTTCTTCTTCTGCCACAAATACTATTTTGTCCCTTAGAGATGTAACCATGGACTTCCCCTTCTCCCTGGGTACCAGACACGTCTTACTATGGCATAGCCTTCTGTTTTTATCTAGTTGGAAGCTCTCCAACTATTTTAAAAGCTTTTTGTGGCTTATCAAGCTCACCAAACCAAAACCTCACTTGGTGTTTGTAGGGAAGGTGACAGGAAACAGGGTTGGGGAGAATAACCGTTTTCAGTAAATGCCTCTTGCCTTCCACTCATGCTACCCCTTCTCCCCAAAGATAATGTTATTGGCCATCTCGCCTTTTCACACTATGTATTCAATCCAGTGGTTTTTATCAGTTCCAGCTAAGAATACCATCTGCATTGCTGGGATTTATTGTTGTTTTTGCTATTGTTGTTGTTGAAATTAAATTAGATCCCTTCTTCATCCCCAGATCAGCATGATCTGGCTCCATGAGCTTGGAGCTGGATAAATGGACACAACTTCAATGCATCTATGTTTTTTAAATCACTTCCCTTCAAGGACTGCCTGGAGAACATCCCAGGTCTTTTTAAAAACCCCTGCTCTAAGGCATTGTTCTTGGAAGAATTGAATTGTACCAGCTATTTCCCTGCCATGCAAAGCAGCTACTTGTATCTTGTATGTATTGGGGAGGGAAGGCAGTGATTGGTTGAACCTAGATCACCCTGAAGCCTGTAAATCATACTGTCACATGAACCAGCACCACCACATTGCATTGCTATGAAAACAATAGGAGTATGTGAACAGAACACAAGAGAGAAATATTGAGCAGGAAGAGGAAATTTGCAATGTTTTAACTCTGAACTAATAATTACCTTCTCAGATACCTTGAATGAAAACTAGAAAAAAGATGGGGGTGGGGGACTTTGGCAGAGCTTAGTGACTTAGGATGCCACCCACTGAGAGAATTACTTGTTTTGAGTTACAGATCCCAATGGTAGAGAAAAGCCTGAAAGATGAGCTCGTATGTTCACGTTGTCAGGGGTGACCCAGACTCAAGAGGCATCTCCAGGTTGTGTAGGATTCTGGATGTAACCTTGGAAGACCCTCTGATCTTCTCAATCCAATTCATTTTTATGGTTTTCCCAGGAAGCATGTGGTTTAATTCTGTTCTCTGGCAAAGAAAAAGCAAAGCATTCATTCTGTCTTCATCTCTTTTTTTCAGCATTTAATGGAAAAAAGTCCTCCAGGACTCAGACAAGCTCATCTACTACATGATTTCTTGACAGAGACTACTCAGGATACGGAAGAAGAGAGTCACTATATTAGTCCTCGAAGTATTCTTTTAGAGGTAACCCTTTCCATTTATTAATTGTTTATCCCTTCTACAAATATTTGCCCGAGCCCCTGCACTGTTCCTGAGGCACTAGGCTGGTTAAGTAAAAACACTGAATCAGTTAATCAGACACGGGTGATGTGCTCAATGTTCCTATTCAACCAGTTGAATAGGAACCAACCATGATACAAGATGAAAGAGCTCCATGCTGAAGAAAGATGTTTATAAAATGCCCAGAGTGCACAAGGGGTGGGAGGCAAGGAGACTGACTTCCAGACAGAAGACGAGGGAACATTTCAGGGAGATGGGGAGACTTTCTTCATTCTGGGAAGAAACAATACTATGAACACAGGTCCTTGGGTGATAAATGGTTTGGTGTGTATCAACCAGTCTATTGATCTACTAGAAGCCCCTACTGAGTGCCTTCTGTGTGTTAGTCACAGTGCTCTACTAGCATGGAACTTATATCACTCTGCCCTCAGAGCTCACAGCCCTACTAGTTATCACATGACAATGCTACCCAAGAGGCATGGTCAATGAGCTCTGGAACCAATAGAAAAAGCAGAGTTTTTCTCTCCCCCGGAGTCAGGGAAGGCTTCAGAGACAATAAGCCACTTGATAGGTACACAGTAAATAGTTCAGTTGGCTGTAACTTAGAGTGAGTGAATGGCACAGTAGGGAATATGACAGAAAAAAATGAGCCAGACCAGGATGGGGCGTTGACTTCATTCTGCAGTCAGCACAGAGGCTGTGGTGGCCTCTGAGATGGGCAGGGGCAGAACCTAAATTATCTTCTAGTACTATTGACCCAGAGGTATAGTTGAGGTAGATGATGGGCAGGCACTTGGGTTGCTTCGCTATCTTGGCTATTGTAAATAATGCTATAATGAACACAGGGGTGTATTTATTCTTTTGAATTAGTGTTTTGGGTTTCTTTGGATATATACCAAGAAGTGGAAGCTAAAAGTCCATTTAAAAAAAATTAAGTGCAAAACTGTGCAGTAGAAGTTCAAAGGGAAAGATTGGCAGTGGCTGAGGTGGTCAGGCGGGGCCATGGGACCTCAGCCAGGTCTGAACACACTTGATTAGGCAGCAGAGAAAATGGGTATTCCTGGTAAAGGAAACAGCATGAAAACGGGCACTAGAAGGGCATTGGTAGATATGTAGTGGGAAGACTGGCTTGACTGGCATGAACTCTTCCAATTATGGGTTGATGCTTCATTTTTTAGGTAGGCAATAGAAAGCCCGTAGGGTTTTGAGCAACCACTACCCCAAATGACTGCCTTAGTTCTGAGGGGTTTGTTGAGAAGCTCTCAAGGGTCTGTAAAATCCTTTATGGACTTTTGAAGCAACTTGGGTCACCTGTGATTATAGTAGCCTGAGGCCAGCTCTGTATCAGAGTCTTTGACCCAGCCAGGTGACATGATTTCACAGTGTCACTGGTTGGGGGAAAGAATTCATGTCATAAAGTGCCTGCCAATGAAACAGAAAAATCAATAACAATTCAGTCCAATAAAACACTTGCGACAGGGGCATGGGGGACCCAGGAGAAGAAAATGGACTCTGAGTCTGCCAGAGCTTTACTGGATCAGTCCCTCAGAACGAGCACCGCTGTGCACCCAATGGTGGATGCATATCCAAGTTTAGGGCCTAGAGCAGCCGTGGGCAAACTACGGCCCGCGGGCCAGATCCGGCCCGTTTGAAATGAATAAAACTAAAAAAAAAAAAAAGACTGTACCCTTTTATGTAATGATGTTTACTTTGAATTTATATTAGTTCACACAAACACTCCATCCATGCTTTTGTTCCAGCCCTCCGGTCCAGTTTAAGAACCCATTGTGGCCCTCGAGTCAAAAAGTTTGCCCACCCCTGGCCTAGAGCCATCATGGACACTTGACTTATTGGTAGACTTGCATCCTTACATTTATTCCTCTTGTCTATAGTTGGATAATATTATTGCTGCCAATGAATCTGATGAACCCACTGAACTTGATAGTCCAGACCAGGTCTCTGAGAGACTTGAGCATCATTACATGTCAATGAAATCCTGGTAAGTAAAACTACCATATTTTAAAAATTGGCTTGGGCTAATGTATGGTTACAGAAAATCACCATTGAAATGTTAATACAAAAGCATTACCAGAGACCAAATTCAACACGTTCCGTGAACCTCAAAACAAGATAAAGTGAGAATTGGCTTCTCTCCCCAGAGAAAACCATTAATGACATCCTTGGGACTTTTTTTCTGTTTCCTGAGGAAGTGATTTTCTAGTTTGCATTTGCATCTCTCACACTCTCACTTCTGTCTCCCAACCTTCTCAAGGTGGAGGGTTATTTTAACTCCATATCCACTTTTAGATGGAGAGTTGGTTGGATTTGATTCTGTGGCTGCGATGTTGATGGTTGGACGTACTTCAACATCTTGTTAACGTTCACATTGCTGTTAGGTGCATAAATGTGAAAGTTGTCAATAGATATGCTGAAAAAGGGTTTGTGTTCGCTTCTTATACTCTAGTTTGTTCAAAGAGACAACCGATGAGTCTGCTCGTAGCGAAGAGGAATCCCAGGCCCTTCCAGAGACCCAGAACAGGGAGCTTCGCCTGCAAGAACAAGGTTCCAGGAGTGACTCTTGCCTTCCACCTGCCACAACAGAGGCCCAGACCATGAATGGCAAAAAGGGGTCGACCTCACTAACTGTTGTGCAATTGTCCATATTAATCAAGTAAAGTTCTAATTTCTCAAACTTTGTGGGCCCTTAGAGCAAGGCAGCCTTCCTTTTTTACTCAGAATTCAACTTTTAAAGAAATTCCTAAAAAATCTCAAAGTCAGCCAAGAATCTGACCTGCTTCCCCTTGTCACTGATGTGGTGGCCAAGCACAGTGTGCAAAAGGGCTAGAAGCTGAGCTCCCTGGGTGGTGGGTGGCATTTTAAAATATTTTGTAAAGATTCTTCATTGGCTAGCCTCTCAGGCCCTGGATCACACTGATCTGGGGGGCATATCACCCAGCTTTTACTGTTAAAATTTTGGTCATGCAAATCTTAAGAGGCCTGGTTCTATACTACTAGTAGGAGGAGAAGGAAAGGGACATTTAGATGTAGTAATGCCAAGGGCATTTGATGAGATTATTCTCAATTTTAAATCTTTCAGTGTCTTCTTCATTCCCAGTGGAGAAGTGTGCAAAGTGACCTGATATGGACAATTATATAATCAATTTAGTCCATTTTTTCTCCCTTCCCATGGTCTCCCATCCACCACCACATCCCAAGAGGGGTGGGGAGGGCATCTGTGGGTACTTTTCAGTAACTTAAATTCATATTCTTCTCTAAATATGTTGGATGATCTTTAGCTGGAAAAGGCCATCTCCTATGTAGGAGGCCAGAGTGTACCCAGAAAGTACCGTTCAAAGCCAAAGACAGTTGCCTGATTTGACTTTTACAAATGTTTTCTCTCATAGTAACATTCCTGAAGAAAGCCACTTGGAGAAACTGAATGTGTTCCTTTCTCCTCTCGACGTCACCAATTATTTGGGTCTCACAGAAGCTTCAGGACTGATATGGTGGGTCGGAGATTGGAGGGTTATTGATTATAAACTCGGTTGGGAGATTTGAAGGCAACACTCATACTTTGAAACACTGTAGGTGGCAAAACTGCCTGGAGAGCTCGGACTGTTCTTTTGCTGTTGTAGCAGGTCTTTGATTGATGCCAAAATAAGGGAATCGTTGTGTGGGAGGGTCAGCGGGAGATGGGTGGGTTTAGGAGGACCTAAAAATCCAGGAAGGAGCAAATTTCTGACGTTTTTCAAGGTGAGGAAAAGTGGAGTGGAATACATACATCTAAGGATATTATCCCGATGCATGAGCAATGAGTATTTGTGAATGAACGAAGTTAGTTTAGCCGACAAGAATCTAAGGTCTAAAAGGAAGACATATCAGACTTCCAGACACCAGCTGAAAACCTGCTGGTCGGGGACAGACACAAAAGACCCTGTGACAGAGAGTTTTCTTGAAGTAATTACAGTTCATTTGATTCTAATTCTCTTAAAGACTTTGTAATTCATTCTGATGGAAGATTACATTTCTACAAGGGAAGAAAGTCCTTCAGTGTAAATAAAACATTTCACACCAATTGCCTTACAGGTTCTATAAGGAGGCAGGAACCACAGCCTTGCCTTTTCCCACATCGCCCACAATCTGAGGCTCAATAAATACCTGATTACAACTGTGGCCCTCTCTGTGCCTGGGATTTCTCATGCATTAACCCATTAACAGTATTTGTTCATTAGATGTTCGTAGTGTAATCATTATGTGCTTGCTTTCAGTGAATACGTACTTACTAAGCACCTTTTGTTTTCTTGGAGTTATGGGGATATACACAATTTTTTAAAAGGTGTTAGTGCCATACTTCTGGTGACAAAGACAGCCGCATAAACAATATAAAACGCATTTATTTAAATATACAATAAGTGAGTGCTCACACAGTGCAATAGAAGCCCAGGGGTAGGAGAGGAGCGATTAATTAGAGTAAGGGAAGTGGAATATAAGAGGGCATTGTAGAGGCTTTGGGGGAAGGGTAAGGCTCCCACAGTGGGGAAAGAGGAAAGAATATTTCAGACAGAAAAAGGATTCAATTACTTTGGATGTGGTATAACATAGCTAACGAAACTAGTGGTAGTAATGATGGGATAGATTAGAGTGAGGGACCCCATCTGTGTCCCCATCCGTGTCCTGCCAGTGAGTGTGGTCTCATGCTTGTGTTCGACGCTGTATTCCCCTTGCAGTGTGGCTGCGTGGAAGGGACCCCCACGCCTGGGATGCTTATTTTTTCACGGAGACCACCTTTTGGCCGTGAATGACCTAAAGCCCCACAGTCTGGAAGAGGCCTCCTTGTTTCTCAGCCGGTCCATCCAGAAGGAGGTGAGTCCTGCTGACCAGCCCTGCCCAGGGCAAGTCAGTGCCAGAAGGAACAAGATCAAGGTCTTAGATTGAGTCTGAACTGTATCTGAACACAAATGAGACTCTTCAATCCTCAGCCACCATGTGTAAGTAAGAGAATAAGGAGTGTAAATAACACTTCCTATAATACGTGTAAATAACAGAAAGTTATAATAGGGCCCTTTCATGTGAGGTAATTTGGGAGAGAGCACTGGACTAGGAGACTGAATTGCTGGTCAGGACCTCAGACACATGATGTGGCATAAAGAACTTGCATTGGAACCAAACCGGCTCAAGGTTTGCACCCTGTGCCCTTTAATCATTTTTTTGGGGCCTCACTTTTCTCTAATGTAGTGATAATATTAGTTATTGGTGAATGAAATGAGAAAATATATCTAACGTGCTTACAACAGTGAGTGGTACCTATGAAGTGCGCAGCCATGGTTCTGCCTGTTAGTACCGTTTCCATGTTGTTCATGCCTTCCCTTGTCCGTTTTTATGTCTGACGAGCCACATGACCTTGGGAAACACTTCCTTCTCTGGGCATCAGTTTCTCCTCTCCAACGTGGGAGAGCTGTTTTCAACTGTGCTTCTTGGCCCCTGAAAACGACAGGAGAGGAGGGGTAGGGGACGGTATGGAGCTTCAGCCAGAGCAATCTACATTTACCAGTTATCTTTTTTATACGTTGGACTTTCCTGTTAGCTCTCCTTGAAGAAACCATTACTTATTTATTATTTATTTATTTTTTTTGCAAACCACTGTACAGGATGATCTCTCGAATTTCCTCCAGCTCTGAGAGTTTATGGTTCTGTGGGTCATGTCACATGTAACCTTGTTGGTTAGACAGATTGTATCACTTCTATTATCTAAATGGGAAACCAGTAAGATTGTGTGAGTTGTCTAAGACACATAACTAGTTAGTGGAGAGCAAGGACTCATTTGTTCATTCATTCGTTCATCCATTCACTCACTGGCTATTTATTGAACATGTACTGTATGCTGGCTGTTGGTCCTCGAGCTTCAAAAGAGGCCTCAGCCTGACCTTAGGGAGCTCACAGATTAGTGATAAATCAGGCATTTTATGTGCTAGCTATGATCCAGTGTGTGCCTTGAGATGACCAGAGAGCCATGCAGTGTAAAGGGAGAATGGAGTCAATCTATCTGCGGGAGGCCAGAAAGGTGTCTCAGAGAAGGAGGTGTTGGGCTTGGGTTTCGAAGACTTGGGTAGGCGTTTGTGTGGTGGAAAAAAAAAAGGTAGCTTTCAGGGGCCCAGTCCAACAATCGGGTACCAATATTTCCTCTGCCAGACACCCACGCTGGGGCTTAGGGTTCAATGGAATCTTCTGAACCTTTTGAAAAGTTACCAAACAATGCTCTGACCCATCAGCTTCAAAGCCAAGAGAAGGAGTTTGGCCTGGGGGCAGGTCCAAGGAAAGAATGTTTGCCTGGGTGCCACTGACTGCAGTTATCAAGGCTGCCTTTCTGGATTGTGGAGTCCTCTGCCTGGGAGGGGACAGCAGCATTCCTCCTGTGCTCCATCTGCCTGACCCCTTTTTCTGGGGGGACAACCAGATGCTTCTGAGAAATCTGGGGTGCTCACCAGCATGATTATCCGGATGACCAAAAAACAAACAAACAAACAAAAAAAAAACAAACCCTTCCTTCCCCACCCTTACCATTCCTGGCCAAGTTCTCTATGTGAAAATGGCTATCCAGTCCTTTTTAAAAATTCAAAGTTCTGGCCGCTGGAAGGAAAAAGAAAGTTGGAAGAGGGGAGATGTGGAGGCAAAGGCAGGGCAGCCAAGGGCCACTATTGTTTTAAGCACCTGAACGAAGCAGATCGCCCCTCCTTCCTTGAGCGGACTCATGTGGGAGGATGGGGTGGAGCTGGATAAAGCCAGTGAGAGGAGAAAATGTGAGATTTTCAATGGAAGGGGAGGAGATGCTAGTTTTGCAGGAGACACATCAAACTTCAATTTTCTCCCCGTTCTGTCAGGGGCTTGTTCTGGCTGGTGGTGTCATTTCTGGTCTTTAGCATCCAGAGGCTTTTTAACTCTTGGTACAAATGGGCCCATCGGGCACCATTGATGCCATTTAGGATCTGCCTTAAAGGCTCCAGACCTTGGATGCCAGACAATAAAACTCCACCTTCCACCTGGACATACAAGTCCTCCTGCCCTCCTCTGACTGTAGTTCGTCACAGGACTTTTTCCTCAAAACCTGCTTCGAAGGGTGCGAATCAGGACATGCTAAGAACAAACAGTCCTGAGGACAATCTTCAGTCATTTAATTATTTTCTGTCTTTTGTTTTAGAAAGTGAAACTCACTATAGGCCGGATCCCAAATTCCGAGAAATTCCACGCTATAGACTGTACATGCTCCTTCAAATACCAAGACGTCGTACCTTCTGAATTGGAAAAGTCTGAACTAGATAGGGCACTGAAGAGGAGCCCAGCCATTAGAAAGGGCCATCAGAAGAGAACTGGGGAGTAACATGTGGGACCCACCCAAGGGGTGGGGATAGGACCCGGACTCCGTACTGGACTCTGCCACTTATCGCTGTGTGAGGAAAGGCAAGTCAGCACACCTCTCTGAATTCCCACAGCTGCCTCTGCACAATGGGACTGACTACACCCTCGCTGGCAACTGCGTCAGGGGCGTGAAGTGGGCCAAGTGGGATAAAGACTACGGGACATAGTGAAAATAGGAGGCCTTCTCTCAGACTTCGTTCCAAACAGCACAGACAGAGATTGGGTAATTCCCTCACTGAGAATGTGCTGTGCGCTCTGAGGTCACAGTCCACATAATCCCTTCTTTGTTAGGGAACGTGCTGTTGGAAATACTCATTCCGGGAAGGCAAGATTCCTGAGAGAGATGTGATATCATTCAGCCTTCCCAACACTTCCTGCTACACATCATGCCTGTGGTCCAGAACGCTGGGACAAACTGCAACACACACGAAAGAAAGAGAGAGAGAGAGAGAGAGAGAGAGAGAGAGAGAGAGAGAGAGAGAGAGAGAGAGAAAGAAAGAAGAAAAATAAACAGAATGCTGAGATAGAGTGGCCTCTAGAATTCAATAATTATCTTTTTTAAAGACCCAGTAACTATGTTAGAAGTTAAAGCAGTTTTAGGTCATATCCAGCAAAGACCTACTTGCTCTCTAAATAAGAGAACCACTTAGCACTTCTAAGTTTGGAAGGTCTTAACTAATGGATGCATTAACTAATTGATCCCGGACGGGCAAAAGAACCCAATCTTTTTTCATACGTAGGAAAACAAAGGCAGAGAGCCAAAGGACTAACCCAGCCTGGGGATGGTAGAGCAACAGGGGGCTTCAGAAAAGACAGGGTGGGCAAAAAGTAGGTTTACAGTGGTTTGTATAGAAAACAGTACAATAATTAATAAATAATAAGACAAGCATAAACTCAGTTGGGAGTTTGGCATACTCCTACTATAAACCTACGTTGCCCACCCTATATGTTTTACCAGCTGTGATTTTGCATGGGAAGAAATCAAGGCCTCGAACATTTAATGATCTACTGCCTTTGTGGCTCCCCGTTTCACACCTGCTAGTGGCAGAACCAAGAATCTAAAACCAGCTCTGAGAAGCAGGTGTCCTGATCCCCACTTTGTATTTAGATTTAGGTTGGAAAAGACCTTCAGCACATAGAAGAGACATTCAAATACAGTTCATTTTCTGTTAATGAAATCTTTACCTAATGACCAAGGATTTGGCAGGATCTCAGAGCCATTCATTCTCAGTATCAACTCGGGCTAGATGGTTCTGGAAAACGAAAGGTTTAAGTGAACTTTGCACTCACAGGTCGAACTCTGGAGCTGGCCTGCCTAAGTTGGCAGCCACTAGCCACATGTGGCCTTTTACATTTAAAATTAGGTAAAAGTTAAAATTTAGTTTCTCGGTTGCACTAGCCACCTTTGGAATGTGCAGTAGCCCTATGTGGCAGGTGGCTACAGCATTACCCAACAAAGAATACGTCCATCCTCATGGAAAGTTCCAGAAAACAAGGCTGCTCCTCAGTGTTCAACTTCCAAGAGGGGAACAGGTCACATTTGCCTCATTCAAAAGCATTATTCTATTTTGATAATGTTTCCAAATAAAATATTCACATCAATGATTTTGGTAGCATTTTTTTTTGACATGGTCAAATCTGATTAACTTAAAACCAAGCTGTGGGCCTTTTAAATATAAGCCTTGCCCTAGCCGGTTTAGCTCAGCGGATAGAGCGTTGGCCTGCGGACTGAAGGGTCCCAGGTTCGATTATGGTCAAGGGCACATGTCCAGGTGGCAGGCTCGATCCCAGTGTGGGGTGTGCAGGAAGCAGCCTAACAATGATTCTCTCATCATTGATGTTGCTATCTCTCTTTCCTTCTCCCTTCCTCTCTGAAATCAATAAAAATATTTAAATAATAATAATAATAAATACAAGCCGTTTTCCCAACAATTAATGGATTTCTCGGGAGAGTCAGTATTGACTTATGAGCTGTTATGAGGATGCAGAAGAAATATAAGGTCTAAAACTCTTTAACAAGAGCCTATGACATATGGGGAAGAAAAAAATGAGCATGCCAAGGTCTCGTTTATCTGCTGTCATCTGAGAAGGCACCATTCTGTACGCTTGATTTTTAAACTATGTTCATTGTAATCCTTCTGAAATGTGTCAACATGTTCTTGCCTTCCTTCTCAGGGTCAAGGCGATGGGCATGATTTCACCACACTCTTAAGTATTCCGTATGGAGGACTGTTTCCCCTTCCACCAATGATCTCATACTGCTTCTGTTTATGCTGCAGGCCGGGAAAGCAGATGATACGGCTTGTTCTAGCCACACGTACACTATGAGTGTGGGTATAAGAGGATTCTTGAGTAAAGCTCATTCATTTCTGGTACAGGGTTTCTGTGACATTGATTTGGGTGCACAGTTATCTTGATGGTGGTGGTGGTGGTACAGTCGTTTATTTGTATGCCTCTTGGTTCTCAAGAGTGTTCTGGATAGGTGAGACGACTAGAAAAATGATTGGGAGCCAAGTAACGCTACTATATAAAAAAAACTAGAAAATTAACTACCATAGTGTGTAATGATAGAGGACTTTAGAGAGGAGAGAGATCGTGGTGCTCATCATGACAAAGTCAGGGAGCACACACCACTGAATCCTACTACAGCCTTGCACAACCAGGGCTATCACTACACCCATTCTTTTGGATGGGGAAGCTCGAGCCCAGAGAAGTTCAATACCTTGCTCAAGGCTACAGCTAGTGCATGACAGAGCCAGAATTTCAACCAGACGGTTGCCTTTGGAGGCCACATTGAACACTTCCTGGAAGAGACGGTGATTTGAGCTCTAGAGAACAGTCCACAGGGGGCAGTGATGCAGACAGGAGCCAACAGGGAGCCTACTTCCTAGGGAGAACAAGGAATGTGGGCAATGACTCAGCTTGTTCACATCTCTGATTTCAGTAATACCCATTCATTTTCTGGGCCTCTTGCCCAGGAGAACCAACGAAGCCCACACCTTATGTTCCAGGAACCAAGGGAATTCTGTGCAGGCTCTTGTTATGGCTCATTAGCATGTTTTACACCCCTCCTTTTGCATGGCCATCTGGCTTCATAAAACACTCAAGTTAACGAGCAATTAGTACACAGTTCCAATGACAAAGGCTGGTCCTCTGGATAGGAGATGAGTAATCAAGAATCCCTGACTACAAACCTTATCATCAAGTGGGGGTGATGCAGAGCTGCCTCAAACTGATTGTCAAACTGCAGACGGAAGGCCAGGGAGGGTTGGGAGGCAGGAAGGAGGTGGGTAAGAGATCAACCGAAGGACCTGTATGCATGCATATAAGCATAACCAATGGACATAAGACACTGGGGGGTAGGGGAGGCCAGGGGATTGTCAAGGGCAGGGGGAAAAAAGGACACATATGTAATACCCTTTGTAAGACTTTAAGCAATAAAACAATAAAAAAAAAAGTGGGGGTGATGCAAACATATACACAGATCACTACAAGGCAAGTCCAATGATCCTAAATCCTTTGTGAAAGAGAAAATTCAGTGTTAAATGAGTAAAAGACTTAAAGACTAATCCTATCTAGTTGGTTTGGGAAAAGCTTCAAAGAGTGATTGATTTTTTTTTTAATTTTTGGGAGTGGAATTTTACATCTGGAAGAATGAATAGAATTTACTTGATCTTCTAGATCAGGCCAAAACCCCACTGCACAGCCATCACAATGTATGTAATTGACAGGACCAAAGAAGTTCTCAGAAGTCCTGTAGAACTCAATTTTTATGCAATTCCAGACCTTTGGATTGTCACCACCATCACTTTTTGAGCACCTCCAGGTGCAGGGCACTGTGACAAGTGCTGGTGATATTAAGAGGGAAAAAAATTCCCTCAGGAAGGTGATAATCTAATAAAGGATATGGACATAAAAATTGCTTAGGGGTACATTTTCCCCTCATCAAATTAAAAGATATAGATCTACAAAAACTTGTACATATTAGTGCAGCCTCATTCATATTAGTCAAAAAATGGAAATGTCTATCAATTGATTATGGATAAATAAAATGTGGTATGTCCATATAATGGAATGTTATTTAGCTGCAAAAAGAAGTGAAGTACTGGTACATACTATAACATGGATGAACCATGAACACATTAGGCTAACTAAAAGAATCTAGACACAAAAGGCCACATGTTGTATGATTGCATTTGTATGAAATGTTCAGAACAGACAAATCCATAGAGACAGAAAGTAAAATAACGGTCGCCGAAGGAGACAATGGGGAGTGACTGCTCATAGATACAGGGCTTCTTTTGTGGGTGTTGAAAATGTTTTGAAATTAGATTGTGGATGAAATGGGCCTCATGCTAACCTGACAAGCTCAGGGGAGGCTTTGCAAACTCAGAGACCTAAAATCACCATAAAGGATGGTCTGAAATTAAAACTTTTAAACTAAAAGCAGTTTATGGCAGGTAGTCATGTCCTAGGCTAGCATCTTCCCTGACAAAAGTCAATCTTTACTTTAACTAAGCTTGTCTATTGTCTTTCGCATCTAAAATAACATACCTTCGGAATGTCAGAGTAACTTCCCTTTTTCCAACCCCCTCAGAGCGCAGCCAATGCACCAGATCAGAGACTATAAATGCGTTCTTTGTTACTTTTATCATGTTAATTGTTGACTATTAACCATCCTGTACTCAGTTTGTAAAATGTGTACATGTCTATCATTTTACTTTGAATCCTATCCCAGAAGTTTCCCCCCACCTCTGCTTTCTCCTGCCTCCCTAATCTCTCACCAATGAATTTCATATAACCAACTTTTTTATGTCTTCTCTTCTGAGTGTAATGTATAAAATAAAGTGCAAACTGCCTCTCTCTGGAGCATTATCTCAACCCATTGAGATTTTGCTTCCCAGCAATTGTCAACAGTTTGGCTCAAATAAACTCACAAAAATTCTTCACAGGTTTAAATGTTTCTTACATTGGCAAGATAGTGGTGATGGTTGTACCACTCTGTGGATACACTAAAAACCACTGAATTGTATTTGGTATATAAATTTTATGTCAATATAAAAACGTTTTTAAGAATTCCCTCATAGCCTCTAAACTAGGGTAGGGAAATTGGATATCAAGGTATCACCCCAACCTTGGAAATTGGCTTCATTTATAGTTACTGACATAAGTGAAGAAGCAGTCTTCCTCACCGACTGATTCAGCAGACTTCTCTAAAACGTGACTTCATATGAAGATGGTAAAAGTATCCCCGTGTAAGAAACAATAGATTACCTAATTAACAATAGTCCTGAATTCCTTCCTAGATAATCATTCTTATTACCATCAAATCTTAAAAGTACCTCAAGGACTTTGAGTCCTACTTTTATACTAAGGTGTAAATGACTATACGAAGAATAGAACAAAAGGATGACAAAAGAGGTCTAGAGGGCGCTCAGTGCCTAGCAGAGAAGGATATGCAGAGCTAGGCTACAGAAAAAGAGGAAAGATATCAATAAATCATCAAAGACAAGTAACATATTTCTCAACTTATCAATAGCTAAGTAATATTGGCTAAGGTGGCCAAAAATTATAGTCCTTCCTCTAAAGCCCTCTTCTAATAACGGCTGAGGAAACATAACTATTTTTGTTCAAAGTCATATTTAGGATGAGCAGGGTTTTCTTGTACTCTAAAGAAAGGTAACTAACTTTTTGAACATTTTTTTTTTTGCCTTCTACACTAATCCAATCCTGATTTCTCATAAGCTGTCTTGCAACCGCATTATCTTGCCACACACACACACACATCACACAACTTTTTAACACTGTAGTGAAAAGGTTTTGCAAGGCCTAAACAATGATCAAACTGTGGGGGTCAGTTAAGGAATCGGAATCTCTGGCAAATGAGCTAAGCAGAGGAGGAGGAGGATGGTTTGAACTAAAAAAGCGAGAGATTTATGAAACTGGTCTTCACCAGTCCCAGATGGCTAGCAAGATGCTGCCAGCTCAAATCAGCCTGGATGCTGTAATGCAGCTTTTCTTTAATTAATATCTCACACTTCCAAACTAAGTGGGTGAAATCACAGAGGACTCTGCCAGGATTCCTCTCGGCTTACAAGCGCCAAACTTGAGCTGGGTTATGGATTTATTAGGCAGTGCTGTGAACGTGTTTAATGCAGTGTTTATTTACTGAGCCATATAAATAGATTTGATAGGAGTGTCACCATCAGTTCACAAAAGATGCTTCTCTTCATGTGGTCTGATGTTGGCTGTTAGGCATCTGCACATTATTCATTAGCCTCAAAGCATTTTTCTATCCTTAACCACCCTTCCTACTGCAATCCTTCTCTGCTGAGTGTAGGTGACGATCCAGATCATCAAAACCCCCTCAGAACTGCCTGAGTAACTCTCTGTGATATAGGAATTACAGGAAAGAATAAAGCAAAGCACAGTGCTGTCAACACTTTTAATATAGTATTTGCTTGCTTGTTGAACACTCGACCCATAAGGTCCAGCTCAAAAGTCATCCTTCTCTATCTCTTTGCTTCCCCTTCTCAGGTGGAATCGATTGCTCCAGCCACGTCCACACATCACTTTACATCTATTTTCTCTGAAGTGTGTAA